GAAGATGGAAGACCTGGATGCTTCATACTTTGTATATAGATGCCTCATGATACGAATTCTGTCTGAAACATGTCCATTGTCCTTGACCTCATTTTCATGGTTCAGTGACTACTTGAAAAAAAAAAGCAGATTTTTTGTAATGTTAATTTCTCTCATATTATGAGTAATAGGATAACTATATTTGGTATGTGCGTACCTTGCAAGGTCCTCATGCTCGTCAGAGAGTTTTCACTTGACCTAGACCTCATTTCATGGATCAGTGAACAAGAACTTAGTCTAAGATGCATGATTTTTTTTATTAGTTGTTAGTGGCTTTGTTAACTAGCTGTCAGTAACTGCGAGTACTCACAGATCTGTACTTAGTGTCTTTTTGTTGTTTGGATGTACAAGTACCCGGCCACGTCCACTTGTATTTTTATCCATCTGATGAGTTAAGCCTCTTTCAACTGATTTTTATTTTGCGGTCGTATATTGGTATGACGTTGGCGTCGTCGTCGTCCGAAGACACATTGGTTTTCGCACTCTAACTTTAGTTTAAGTGAATGGATCTCTATGAAATTTTACCATAAGGTTCAATACCACAAAAGAAAGGTTGGGATTGATTTTGGGGGTTATGATACCAACAGTTAAGGAATTTTGGGGGGGGGGGGGATTTTTTTTTTCCTTTTTTTTCTTTAAAATTTTCCATTTTAAATTGATTTATATATAAAAGCAAATAATAATGATATGGTTTGAATAGGTAAATTAAAATTTTTTAAGTTCTTAGACCACATTCATTCTGTGTCAGAAACCTATGTTGTGTCAAATATTTAATCACAATCCAAATTCAGAGCTGTATCAAGCTTGAATGTTGTGTTTATACTTGCCCCAACTGTTCAGGGTTCGACCTTTGCGGTCGTATCAAGCTGCGCCCCAGCAGAGCATTTTATTATTGTTCGTTCTTATGTTGTACTGTTACACCACCGTCCCAGGATAGGGGGAGGGTTTGGATCCCGCTAACATGTTTAACCCCGCCACATTCTGTATGTATGTGCCTGTCCCAAGTCAGGAGCCTGTAATTCAGTGGTTGTCGTTTGTTTATGTGTTACATATTTGTTTTTAGTTCATTTTTTGTACATAAATTAGGCCGTTAGTTTTTCGTTTGAACTGTTTTACATTGTCATTTCGGGGCCTTTTATAGCTGACTGTGCGGTATGGGCTTTGCTCATTGTTGAAGGCCGTACGGTGACCTATAGTTGTTAATTTCTGTGTCATTTGGTCTCTTGTGGAGAGTTGTTGTCTCATTGGCAATCATACCACATCTTCTTTTTTATATTTAAGGTTAAGTTTTGGTGGTCAAGTCCATATCTCAGATACTATAAGCAATAGGTCTAGTATATTCGGTGTATGGAAGGACTGTAAGGTGTACATGACCAACTGGCAGGTGTCATCTGACCATGACCTCATTTTCATGGTTCAGTGGTTATAGTTAATTTTTTGTGTTTTGGTCTGTTTTTCTTATACTGTATGCAATCGGTCTACTATATTTGGTGTATGGAATGATTGTAAGGTGTACATGTCTAGCTGGCAAGTGTCATCTGACCATGACCTCATTTTCATGGTTCAGTAGTCAAAGTTAAATTTTGAGTTTTGGTCTTTTTTTCTAATACTAAATGCAATAGGTCAACTATATTTGGTGTATGGAAACATTTTATGATGTACATGTCAGTCCCGCAGGTTTAATTTGACCATGACCTTATTTTCACGGTTCATTGCTCAGTGTTAAGTTTTTGTGTTTTGGTCTGTTTTTCTTAATCTATAAGCAATAGGTCAACTATATGTGTTGTATGGAAGGATTGTAAGCTGTACATGTCTGCCTGGCATGGTTCATCTGACCTTCACCTCATTTCCATGGTTCATTGGTCAATGTATAGTTTTCTTGGTTAAGTCTGCTTTTTAGAAACTATAAGCAATACAGGTAGGTCAACTGAATTTAGTAATTTGAATGATTGTAAGGTGTACATATATTTTTTGTCAGGTTTATATGACCTTGAATTCATTTTCTTGGATCATGTTGAGTTTATGTGATAGTTGTAGTAAAGCTTTATATTTAGGACTATCAACATGATATCAATGATAAGTAAAGAAGGCGCAACATTTCAGCGTGTGCACTCTTGTGTATACATTAAACACCACATTTACTGTTTTTACCCTGATTTTATGGATCACTGAACATCATGTCAAATTATAGTACATTCTTAGGTTAAAGTTTTAGGTTAAGGTACATAGCTTGCCATGAAGTTGAATTTCATACACATGTTCATTATATGGTGAATTTTTAAATTCAGTGCCAAACTAAGATTTTGAGCCTGATTACATGATTGACTAGACATTGACACATGCTAGTGTTTGCCAGGCATTGTGTCCTGTACTAGGAATTTGTCCTGTACTAAGAACTTTAATAGTACTCGCTGAGTATGGAGTTTTTGTGAAAGTTTAATATTAGTGAGATTTTTGCATGACATCCTGTCAACTGCTTGTTGATCATGTTTATACATGTCTTAAAATTAATATCTGACACATTGGTGATTTGTGAACTTGGAAATAAGTTATTTGATAGAATAATAATGTTTTGAAATTATCAAAATAAAAAATATCCCATTTTTACTACATTGTGTATTAATGATTAAGTATATAAAAAAAGAAGATTTAGGATATATGTATAACCATATATAAAAATGAGACAGCAACCGCACAACACAAAAATAAGAAAAAAAAACCAATATAATTTTTGTATCAATGTTATAATTTCCAACATGTCCAAAGAGTTCAATGTATTTTCTAATTGAAATAAAACACAAGTGGAACTCTTTCAGAACTTCAGAAGCTTAAAGAAGTGCTGTTTCTATTGTTGGCTTTCTGTATAATATATTGCAAATTCTTGTGAAAAATGGAATTTTATTGTAATTGCCTAAAGTTTTAACATTGATCTATATATATATATAACTGGGGAAAATACCCAAATGTTATAAAGAAGAATACATAAATTGATTGTTATATAATATTAGAATAGGAAGATGTGGTATATTGCTAATTTGACAACTCTCCATCAGAGACCAAAGGATGTAGGAGGTTAGCAACTGATGACACTGGACAACCTTCAACAATCAGTAAAATCCATACCGCATAGCTATTTTTATTGAAAATCATTCTTGCTACATGTATGCAAACAATTTTTTATTATCCATAACTTCGGATTTTATTGGTTCTTTTTCAGAAGGATTGAAATTCATCACTGAGAATAAAAGGAGAAAACACAGAAACAAGACCAAAATAAATTCAAAGACAAAAGTCAGATCAGTTATTATTTTCATCACTCAGCCAATGAATTGAAGTTCTATTAAATATCTAAAGATATTAAAACCACAATAATGACAATGTTCTGTGCTGAATGGCAAAAAAGTGGACTATACATTACGATCACACAATGCTGGATGATAAGAAACTATTAATTTTTTGGGTGGAGGGATATCCTGAACAAAAAATAGATTTATGTAAAAAGCTACTAGTATGTTAAGCCTTTTAATAGAGTTTTCATTGATTTCAAATGGGAAAAAATTGTGTTTCAAAAAAGTATTCTAGAATTCATAAATAAACATATATTGATACTTACATTATCTGCTTTGTTGTTTAAAAGTTTAGTTTTGAACAGTTATAGAACAATATAATTGCATTAACATTTCCAAGGAAAAAAAAGATATTCAACTAAAAAGATTCATCTTAAAAAAATTTACTACCAAACAGAATTCATTGTAACATACACATTTATTTACTGTATATTTATAATTTGAATCATAGGATTTTATTTTGTCCCATGGGATATTAAAAATCCCATGGGATAATTATAGTCCCATGGGATTTTTTTTGTCCCATGGGACAACAAATATCCCATGGGACTACAATTATCCCATGGGATCCCAAAAAATCCTATGGGATTTAACCAAAATCCCATGGGATAATGGTCAATCCCATGGGATTTGCCCTATCCCATGGGATATTGAAAATCCCATGTTTTTCTAAATCAAATTACAAAATAGATATAATAATAACAGCAGAAAAGCAATGAATTTATTGAATCCCATGTAATTCCGCACATTTTGGTTATTTACACGACACTGTAGCTCTAAGGAGAGGCGGCGGCGGATTTGCAAATGAGTGTTTTGCAAATTAAAAGTGTCCAGTGTTATTGTTTGAATAATGTTCGGGTTTTTTGTGCAATTATCTCGAAAAGAAATGTAGATTGGTAGAAACTGCAAACAGCAAAAATTTTAAGCGATAAAAGGTCCACAAAAATGCAAGAAAATCAAAAACCATTGAATGACACCTTATGGAGTTATAACCCTTAAATGGTGATTTTAGATAAGTTTCAAGCATTTATCTATTATCTTAAAAATTTGAAACAAATGTTTATCACAGATAACAAAATGAGTGACTCCGTAAGAAGTTATTGTCATTAAATGAGGTATAAACTGTAAACAGAAAAAACTATCAGCCATACATCATGTACAAAAAAGCCAATCTGATACAATTGGATGACCAGTTAAACAGTTATTGCCCGTTAAAAATGAAGATTTTTGATTAATAACTTGTTTTGTATTTCAAAACTGACATACCAAATTAATCATAGTGATGTTTACTAAACCTTCGAAGAATTTTATTTAACTATGCAGGTAATTTTTTTTATATAAATTGAGTTTCTCAATTTGAAAAAAAGTAATTTCTAGTGTATTTAAGTTTAGCTTTCGATTTTTAGATGAACGTCCGTTAACAAAGCAATCAAAGTACATGTACATTATACAACAAATCACTTTAGTAATACAAACACATGCCCTAATTTATACTAAACGATTTCATACCATGAAGTTTTTTTATTGGTAATTCCGGAATAAACAAGAAAACATTGTTTGTGTAAATAAGGAAAATACTAAATATAACTAGCTAAATGTTTGCCATTTTTTCAGTTGGTTTTACTGCTTGCGTTAGTAAAGATGATGGATCAACCATATCAGCAGGTCATCCAATACCATTTACCACTGTTACATCTAGTTATAATGTTGATATGTCAAGCGTTAAAAGCAATGGAAAGTTCACCGTTAAAATAAGTGGTTTATATTTTATATCGGCATCAATAAGAAGTAAAACAGACCATGGATTCTTTGCAATATATGATGATTCGTACTTTTTAGCTTATGGATACACAGCTGAGCATGACGGTAAAGATACATATGATCACAGTGGTACAGTAGATGCGGTGCGATATTTTAATTACGGTGATATCCTAGCAGTAAAGCCGTGGAAAACTATGGACATTGGTGCTTGGTCTTGTCTGACTTTTGTCAAAATAAAATAGAAACAAATTATAATTAATATCTGACATTTTGTATTTTTGCGCAATAAGATATCACAATTGAACATTATATTTTGAAACAATACTATAAAGGAACTGTTCTAATTATTGGAAGTACTAAGTACGTACAACAAAAGGTGTTTCTACTCACAACTTGACATTCTGTATTGTCACCAATTGGAAGTTTTCATGTTTTGTTTTAACAATTATCGCTTTCAAATAGTCAATTAGCTTATAGTAATTCTAATGTTCAATTATTTATTATTTCTTCATTTATGAATAACAAAATAATAAACTGATATGATATTTCAAAAATATTTTGAGAATTAAAAAGATTTTCATGAAATCATACTATATACATTTAAATGAAAAAAAAATATGGATCTTTGTAGATTCGGATGTATCCAATGTAAACGGGAAATGATCAGTATATTAAAGCTAAACGAAACCGTTGATCATAAAATTCCATGATCCGATTTTTATATCTATGACATGACGGTTGCATTTCAATATTCTCCACGGGTATGTTAAAAGATAATGGTTGGTACACGACAGCAACCCAACAGCATATTGAAGCACACAATCATCATTGATAATCAAGTGTACATGTACATACCAAACACGCTAGCAAGAGTTAAACTATATGAGTATAGCCAGTGTTTTAATAACTTTTAAGACACTATTAGATCAGTAATCAACTCAAAATTCAGTGTTGGAAAAAACTATTTAAACAACGACATTGGGGTATCTGGGCTAAACTGAGCGTTTTGCATATTTATCACGTATAGACTGAAAGACAAGTTATTTTGACACAAAAGTTAAAATAAAAGTATTACATTTTTTGACGACATCGAGATTTGCTAACATATTTATTCATATTATATTCGATTGGCTCCTCTAATATTAGTTTCCTACAGCATCTTTTACATATGTTCAAAAGCATATGAAAGTTTTCGCTTACAACTGTCCGTAAACATTTGCATTTTAACTGGATATTGACCAATTCTTTGCTGTTTATCATCACAGGCAATTTATACTAGTCTATAAGATGATTTTTTTTGTCTTTCTGTATTGTTTGGTTGCTGTAGGCGTTGCATGCTACTCACATTTTAAATTCTTAGTCTTATTGAAGCGTGAGGTACAAGTTAAGGTCTACCCAACTAAATATTCCGAACAGTCTCATTTACATTTTGTACAATATCATTATTTATTACAAAATGATGTTTCATTTTTTTTATGGGAATGAAATAGAAAAACATATGGACTTTATGCATCCTCAGTTTGCTTAAACTTTTCATCTTGATAGTTGTGTTCATGGCCCAGCTAGTTATGTTGCTTTTATTTATAACATGTTAGGTAAACATTTATTTGGAAGCGCCTTCAGTTCCCAAGATTATTATCTTAGACGAATATCCAGCTGTCAAACTGTTTTAGACTTTGATAAGTAGCTGACGTGATTAACAATTATTCCTCTTGATATCTAACTCTTTTTAAGCATTTGTATTCAGTATGGCTTTAATTCATTCTGAAACTATGTCTTGGGAGATTCAAATATTGTTTGCCATATAGACTCTACACAATAAGTTTGTGACAAATACAAAATAAAGCTTAATATTTGTCTAGTAATACATTAGTATTGTGAACTAGGTTACTAAAACCATGGCTCTGCGTATCTTTGTATGTGTTGTACGTTTCATATTTATATGATATAGACACATTTTTAAATATACATGTAACATTTGCTGCTGGACATTAAACATTACTTAATTCAATCAGTTTTACTATATCAATGAACCAATACAATTGTCAGGGTGAGTAGGAAAATTCTGAAATACCAATTGGAAATTAATGTAAATTTTGCAATTTTTAAACAAAAGAACGTAATAGCACTATATCTAATTGTTTACTTCGGGTAAAAAATAAGTAGCAGAGGCTCCATTTAACTTTTGAAATAATCATATTGTATAAGCCATGATTGATGGTATTTTCAAAATCAAAGAAAAAAAGTAGTAGCATACAATGAGACAAAAACAAGTAAAACTAAAATAATCGAATTGCACACAGCGAAGGATAACTCTTTTCGTTGATTGAAAAATTATAACCGCGTTAAAATAATTGTAGACCGTTGTATAGTTTCACAAAGAACGCAAAGTAACCATTTTATGGGTGAGCATACATCGAACAGCAGTTTTTTTTACACTTTCCATACACTAAATATGCCTAAACTGTTTAACAGACCTACGAAAATTACATGTATAATTTATCCCGTTTCATGTTCATGTGCTTGTCCCAAATCATGGACTTCGTCTGTGGTTTTCTTAATTATATGCAATGGTTTTTGTACTATAGAGGAATGCGTGTTTGTGACGGTTTTTCAATAGTCTTAGTTGAATTTCTGGAATATTTAGAGCTATCCATATTGCATGTCTTATGTTGACGGCCGTATGTTGAAACGTTTTGTTGGTTTTTATGTGTCGTTTTGGTAGTTGTATCATGCCGTACACCAATATCTCTATTCATTTCATTTCGTCGTCTTTTGAAGCTAAATCAGCCTTTTTCATGTATTTATGAAAAGGATAAAAAGACAAAAGATCACTGTATTTCATGATAAAATGTTAAAAAAAAAAATCAAAACATTAAAAACCAATATGATATTATCCACCAACTGGTCAGTGTTTCATGGGTGACAGGATTTGATATAAAAATAAATAGGATGTGGTATGATTGCCAACAAGACAATTTAGCACTAGAGACCATGCGGCGTAGAAGTTAGCAGCTATAGATCAATTGAATAAACATAGAATTACATTTTTTACTCACATATAAAAAAAAAAAGAAGATGTGGTATGATTGCCAATGAGACAACTCTCCATAAGAGACCAAATGACACAGAAATCCACTACTATAGGTCACCGTACGGTGTATATCAATAATGTATGTATGTCATTTTGTTTATTTTCTTTTGTTTCCTATTCTGACATCGGACTCGGACTTCTCTTGAACTGAGTTTTAATGTGCGTACTGTTGTACGTTTGTTTTTTCTACATTTGCTAGAGGTATAGGGGGAGGGTTGAGATCTCCAAAAACATGTTTAACCCCGCCGCATTTTTGCGCCTGTCCCAAGTTAGGAGCCTCTGGCCTTTGTTAGTCTTGTATCATTTTTAATTTTAGTTTCTTGTGTATAATTTGGAGTTTAGTATGACGTCCATTATCACTGAACTAGTATGCATATTTGTTTTGGGGCCAGCTGATGGACGCCTCCGGGTGCGGGAGTTTCTCGCTGCATTGAAGACCCATTGGTGGCCTTCGGCTGTTGTCTGCTCTATGGTCGGGTTGTTGTCTCTTTGACACATTCTCCATTTCCATTCTCAATTTTATTGGTGTATATACGATGTATATCAATAATGAAGTTGTTAAGAATGAGAAAACGTGAATATTTCACTGTACAATATGACTGATACATTAATTGATTGCAGACGGAAATCCTTATTCAAATAAGAGTATTTTTTTTGTTATTAGATAAGACTTTTTTATTCTTTCAAAAATAAGATGTATATGGCATCGAACAGAATATTAATCATAATTAATTTTATTCAATGTGTTTGACAATATATACATTGAGTCGAATACATTTTCATAATTATTTGTCGCCTTTTTCTCGTGTCTTTTGTCTTTGTTCTCTATTTAATATATAATATTAGAGAAAGCATGCGACTTTGCTGGTATTGCACTGACGTATTCATCCTTGTAATCTAAACAGTAGAAGTTGTCGGCATTAACATTGGTATTTATATTTGACCTCTCAGGTTTTTTACTACTGACCCATACTTGTGCTGACTTGCAACAACATAAACAACGCGCTATGACAAACGCCGTAACTCCAAAAAATGCTTATCCACCGAATGCAAGGCCTGCTATTACCCCTTTGCTTACTCCATTAGGTATTTTAGTTGTCAATGGGTCATCCTGTTTAGGTTGATTTGATGTGCTGGTTATTGTTGATGATGGTAATGTTGCACCGGCTATATAAAAAAGATGAAATTCGTTCTGAATTTTATTTGTTTTAAATTTTTATTTGCTGATTATTCGGTTTGAAGTGTACGACAAAGTTTTGCTATGACATTATCGTTGCTATGAAAATAAGATTTTTTGGTAAAACAAAATCGACTCCTACTTCCCTATTTATAAAAAATGTTTTGAGTTTAAACTTGATTTGGTTATCTGTTCAAAAAAATGTGCATTCATGCACTCAATTTAACAAATACTAGTATCAATTTAAAATACAATATCTGTATGTTGCAAAAAGACAATATATAATGAAAAAACAACAAAATCTAATTTATTTTATAAATTCATTTATGTCTATGTGGACAACTTCTATTTAAATTAAACAGTCAATTTGAACTGAGTGTAAATGGCATAATTATTTAATCTGTATTTTAACCAACCAATCAGATAACAGATATATTCTGACGTAAAAATTTATCTGCGACAAGAAAGATCGCAAATTTTCTCTGGACAATTTTTGATCCCACCCCCTACCCCAATAACTTGACACCTTGTACATTTAAAGATGATGTGGGTTTTGTGATTTTAATGTTTATGATTTTTGCATTATGTTGTTAATGGCTTTTTATGATATGCTACTTTTTGTAAGTGGCCTTTTTTTTATACGCCACCTTTTGTAAGTGGCCTTTTCTGTACGCCACCTTTTTGTAGGCTGACTTTTTTTCTGGGGAGTTAAATCAGGGGCATTTAAATGTTACCTTTGTAAGATTATCTCCCCTGTTGTTGTAAATAATTTTGATCGTCGTTTTCAATAAATGACATTTTGATTGGAATCTTTCTCCTTGTTACTTATTCGCCTCCAAAAAACCGAGCAAGGTGTGTCCTGACATAAGTGTTCATGCACTCAGATATTTAGTCATAGGGTGGTTTCTGTATTTGGTATCCTCAGCTTTGATATACATCTATTACGCTGATCACATTAGACATAAATACTTTTCGTGATAAAAATATCATATATGTATTATGTAGAATTTTGTTTTATATTATTACTTGTGAAAAGTTTAACACAATTGTTCTTACCATGAACTACAAGTGTCCCGCATACTTGGTCAGATGTTTGCCTGAAAGACAAGGAGAACATAACTAAGGTGTTCTTACATCGTTATTAGTATATGTATATATATATATATATATATATATATTTATGTTGATTTTAGGCGAAAAAGTTATATTGAATTCGAACGAATTACGTTAAGAATATTAAGTCAGAAAGAAGTGTCAATATTAATTGTAAACAATTTCATAAG